ATAATAATAATAATCGATTACGTCATAACGAAAATTATTATTTTCGGTAAAATCTACTACAAACAGACAACATCATTTCTCTCTTTTTTTTTGTGAAAAACATGGTTGACACCGCGTTGTTATGTTTTTTACAAATTTAAAATGAATCATTTTTGGTATAAAATGATTCATTCATAACCGGTAATAGTAATCATCATCATCATCATCATCATCATCATCATCGTATGAAAAAATTACATGGCGATTTAACAGAGTAATAACTTTTTCTAACCATCACCGCCCTACCTACGATTGAACCTATACCTAAGATTTTTTTTTTTTTTTTCACAGGAAAAAAAAAACCGCAATCGTGATACACCATAAAGTTTTTTTTTTTATATACGTGCAAATATTGGCCCCCCGAGAGTCCTTAATGAAAAGATTAAAGCAAACAAAATGACACGACATCAAGGCAAACAATCCCAGCAGCAAAACGACGACGACAAAAACAACAACAACAGCGGGGGGGAGACGGTTTGACCGTCTTAAAAACAATTATTCATTTCCTTGTTGTGTTCATAAATGTATTCACAAATTAACACAACAACAACAACAACAAAAAATTTCTGTTTGTTTGTTTGTTTGTTTTAAAACATTTTCTAACGTTGTAACATAAAAATTATTTTTACGTTGTGAAATTTTTTTTTTTTGTGAAAAGTCGACATTTTTTTTTCTTTCCCCCTCCTTCTTATTCTTCATCCCTTCATCCCCTCCACATTTCTTTCTTTCTATCCGACCGTTCTAATATGATTTAAAAAAAAATTTTTTTTTTATGTAATTTGTTATTTACAAAACAGAGAAGGGGGAGGGGTGGGAGGGAGGGAGGGAAGGGGGAAAAAATTTTATATTAACTGTGTCAAATTTTTTTTTTTTTTTTACAAAAATACAAGTTTTACGACGCCCTGTAAACGTAAACAAATTATTATTAAACATGTTTTTGTTATTAACAAATTTAAAATGTTTGATTCCGCAACTACATAAAAAAAAAATGTATGCATCCATCTATATTTATGTATAAAATATTAATTAACGATAAAAAAAAAAATTTCACAATCGTTTTAACGTCGAAAATGACAAACAAACAAACAAACAAACAAACAAACAGACAAACAAACACTTTTGCTTTTTAAAAAAAAAATTCGTTTCGTTGATTTTAAATAGAAAAAATAATAATCGAAACGAATTTTATTTTATTTATACGCAACTTTAATAATTAAAAATTTTCATAATAATAATAATATTTAAAAAAAAAAAAAAAAAAAAAAAAAAAAACGAAACTAACCGTGTATTGAGACATCTTTAAATTCACAAAAAAAAAAAATTTTTTCCCACACTTTTCGCATATATATATGTATTCCAATTCCGATGGAAAAAAGGAAAACTTTAAACGTTTTTAATTAAAAAAAAAAATTTAATAAATGTACGTTTGTGTATTAAATGTCGTTTCTTTGTGTCGAAATCCGTTCGTTATAATAATAAAACGGTTGTAAAGTAAACGTTCGGACGATATAAAAATCATGTTAACATCAAAACATTATTCACACGTATTTAAATATATAGAAAAACGACGGGGTTGACACATTCTACGAAACGTCAGATCCTCGACTGTACCATGTTCGTGACGCAGTCAAACGGGAAAATTCGCACGCGCAAACAACGCTGCATCCCCTACAATCGGGGGAACGGGTCGATAAACATCTTACACATAGAACTTTTTATCTCAAATGACGTCATAGAAAATTCGATTATGTTACAGTTTTTTTTTTTTTTTTGAATTCTACAAAGAATACCCGTTAAAATATTATTTGGAGGGTGAAAGAAGGGGAAGGTGATGGTTTAAAAGGAAAACATTCCCCTCCCCACCTCCACCCCCCTCGATCGAAACCTTTCGAATTGCATTTAAAGGAGAAGCAAAAAAAATTTTTTTTGTAGAAAATTCATTAGTTGGCTATACGTGTGAAAAAAAATGTGATATCTCTATCTCTCTCTCTCAACCGTGACAACACTTAATAATAAAGTACCTTACAAACTGACAATTTAAATTTGATGAACGACTAAATTTGTAAAAAAAAAAAAAATCTCGTTTTAGTCGAGGCCAGTAAAAA